GATCAGTGCAATGGAATGAATTGATGACCTGAGCCTCTTAAATCTGTTTGTCACATTACAGCCAAGCTCTCTCCAATATATTTGAATAATAAATGTAAACAAAGTAACGCTTTGTACAGTCTCTCATGAAAACAAAATCCCCCTAGGGTTTTTATCCAGCCAACAGACGGTTATCTTTTACATATTAATAAGATGAATATCTGACCACACACTAGACATCAACACACTTGCGGACTCCTCTGATCTGGGCTCAGCAGAACGCGAGGGCTTCCTCAACACATGCATGAGAGACTAGGGACAAATAACTATGCCCAAGGCGAACTCGAGCCCGCGACCGTTCGGAGTTAACCGCTGAGTCGGTACACTCCCTTCGCCGTCTTGGTTATCCAGATCAGCTGAAATATACATCTAAGAACTCTATACCTATTAAAAAGGTCTTGAAGACATTTTTACACTCACATTTCTTTGAGTGTGCGTTTTTTTTAATGACGTGATCTTATCCCAAAGAGTGTGGATGAGATCACCTCACGGGGTGGGAATTGTAAACGTTTCTGGGGGCGTGGTAGTTATTACATCGAAGTGGAATCACTGGGGTGCTTTTGACCGGGAATTCCTGGGGTTCGAGCCTCGACGATAGAAGGATTTTTGACACTAGCCAGATAGCAAAGTCGTGTTCTGTCGCTGTCTGGAGGAAAATTCTAGTGGCCGGCTGTTCTAATTGGTAGTTTTCCGTGGTTTCTCCTATCATTACCATGCGAATGCCGGAGCAGTACCCTATCAAACACGCCATGAAACGCACGCGATCTTTACCTCCCATTCCTTGTCATATCCTACTCATCACACACACACACACACACACACACACAGACACTTGCACTTACATGCATTACTCTACCTCACACGCCGGGAGACCGGTCGGGAGTGAAGTACTTGTCCCGGCTGGGGTGGTGCCCCGCTGGTGGGAGAGACCCGCTAACCGACCGTAGGCGGGCGCCGGACCTCGCCATCCAGGGGACACGGATAATAATTCCGGCTGATATTTCACAATCGCAGGGGGAGAATATGCAGCAAGACAAGCTTAATAATTGAAATTGTGGCGGGTTGCGTAGAACATCTGTTCAGAGGCGCTTGAATCTTCATAAACGCATAAAATTATTAACGCGCGTCTATGTGCAACAGACATTCGCACATTCTCCTTGTACTAGGTCTATTCTTCGCGCAAGTACAAGCAATAAGTTGACAAAGTTGTATCGCAATGGGATAAACAGATAATATCGCCTCCTTTCGAGCACAAAACATGCACTGCACTTATACCACGTATGACCTTGCCGCTGATGCGCCCGGAAACGCTAATAAATAAACACGTGACTTCCACACTCCCTCTCGCAATGTCACCGACGGCGATTCCTCAGGCGCAGGCGCAGCTGGCGAAGCGCCTGGAGCGCGCGCTGGAGTCGCAGGACGAGGCGGGGGTGCACGAGCTGCTGCCGGCCCTGCGGCGCCGCCCGCACTGGCTGGGCATGCGCGTCGGCCGCACAGGGGACTCGCCCCTGCACCTCGCCATCCGCTGCTGCCCGCAGCCCGTCGTCGAGTGAGTGTCGCGTCTGCGCTGCGGCCGCTTTGCGCGTGGGCAGAGAAATCTTCTGCAGCAGCTGACAAGAGGCGCTAGCTGGCAAATGATTGGAAATTCAATATTTCGGACGCTAAATGCCAGTTCGTCGGGCGGGAGGTGGACAAAATAACTTTAACACTGAATATTTTTAATTTTAATTCTTTTTTATAAGTAAGTGGTTTAGTGTAGCGTCTCAGAGAATTTAAACAATTTTAATAGTTTTGTAATAAATTTGAGAATTATTAATTAGATTAAAAGGATAAGCAACATGACCCCTTCGCCATCAGCCATAAAAGGATAAGCAACATGACCCCTTCGCCATACCGAGGCATAGTATCGAAATTTACGTTGCACCTTTCCGCATACGATGGATCACAAGGAGTGACAGACGGACACACTCGGTTTAACTATTATATGTAGTGTGATGAATAATGTAATCAGGAATCTCGTGTCCCCGTTTGGGTATGGGTTCGGGTTCGTTTTCGGTCATGATTGACTGAATAAATTAATGTTTTCAGGCGGAACTCCATATAAGTATTGCGGCAGCTAAGAAATAGAAGTTGTTTGTGTTGTATTCAAGTTTCAAATTATAAAATGCAGTAACTTAAATACGTTAGTGCCAGTCAAGTGACCAAAGTATGTGGCAGCGAAAAGCTCCACGCATAATTCTCGTAGACTAGTGAATGTGTAGCGAATTTTGACAGTTAATATGATCCAAATTCAACGGCATTTTCTGTATTGTAGTAGAGCCAAATGCTCGAGGCATACGATAGTGAACAGTCCAGGGGCTAGACACACCAAGAATACATCCAGTTTTACCTATGCGTACGAATGTCTTGTGCTCACAACCTCGCGAATAACACTGAAACAAGTTTCAAGTTGAAATTTTCCTGATTGTATAGGGTATTTTTCAGTTCTCCACAGTTCCAGTGGAAATAAAAGATAGTCATTGGGCGGATACCTAGAGTCCTAATGTTGATGGCTGATTAAATTCACGTTTTTTTAGATAGATTGAAAAACTGTACAGGTACAAGAAACGTCTACTAAGATGTAGGAGAGCCTTCGTCGTCCGATAAAATAAAACCCCGCACCCGAGAGGTTAAACTAAAAAGTAACCACTCTTACGTATTCAATTAAGAATGTGACGCGCAAGCCCGAACGATTAAAGCCAGAAAGAAACTTGAGCTAATTGAGCGCCTTTGTTTTTCAATTAAAAGACGATCAACCCGAATGAATAAACCTATAAAGTAAGCAGAGTCATTGGTATTCGATTAAATATGTGATGCGCAAGCCAGAACGATTAGTGCAACTTCTCCATTCGCACTTTTTCTATAACTCTGATGGATCTCTCCTTTTGCTAATTGGGAGTCAGAGTAGTGCCGGGGTATAATTTACTACTTTGTTAATAATACTAAAATATCAAATCTGTAGTTCGTTTACCGATAAAAACAAGTTTTCTCCAACTCTGGTGAAAATGTCTTGTTTTCCTAAGTTGCCTGAGGAATAGATTCTGGAGCTCAAGAAAACATGCCCAGATTGTATTTCTCCCCCAGATCACAAGTAGTTTTTGCTGTTATTTGGCAACAATAAATCAAATTTAAACCAGAAACCTAAGCGTGTTGGAGGATTCTTTGATGTCTGGTTATGCACGGTACCCTGCAAGTAAAACTGGAATAGCAGCGGGTCCGTAAGTAAACTGTTCTGCTCCGTCCGTGCGCAGACTGCTGTGCGAGGGCTTTCACCGCCTGCCGGAGGAGCGCGAAGAGTGCCCCGACTGCCGTCAGATGCTGCTGGTAACTAACAATGTGGGCAAGACCTGCCTGCACGTCGCCGCCGAGGTTTGCCGCGCCGCTATAATTGGTTATCTTCTCAAGCAAGGTACGAATTTTCTAGCGCACCATTGCATTACGTCCCCATTATCTAATATATCGAAATCTATGTTTGTTCGTATTATATGCGTTGCCGTACCGTGTATCCGATTGCCATAAAACTTTGTCAACCTATTGCTTGCACTTACGCGAAGAATATAGGCACAGTACGCGGAAAATGTGCGGATGTCTGTCGCACATACATTCACGTTAATTATTTTATGTATTTATGAATATTAGAGCGCCCCTGGACAGTTGCTCTACCCAACCCGCCGCACTCTGAAGTATTATGCGCGTCTTCGCTGCATATACTCTCCCTGCGATGGTGAAATATCGGCCGAAATTATTACTTGAACGTTATCTCGGACAAGCTAATTTCTCCAAGACAATGTCATAACGAATGCATTCCCAACGAGAGAGAACATTTTAACTATAGGATACTTGACAACCATGTCCAAATCAGGACATAGAACAAACGCATACTTGCGAGAAAGTCTTTCATCTATTAAACGTTTTGCAGAACATAGCTTGGTTAAACAATAACGTGACCTGCAGCCTGTGAATTGTAATACATTGCAATAACGAAGCATTAGCGCGTCCACAAGTTTAACATAAAATATGCGCGCTCAGGATGTTCGGATTATATTTGGAAAGTTAATTAATTTTGTAAGATAAAGGTAAAAATTACATAGATTGCACTTCTCCCCACAGTTCGTCACTCGCAGGTCTTGACATTAAACAAACAAACAAAATAAATAAATAAATAAGGTAGGACTTTTCTAGTGCACCAATTCATTACGGTTCCTAACATTTGCGAGAAATACATGTTCGCGACCAGAATGTTCGATCTCTATTTAAAAGACTAATTCCAAGTCGTTAAAGAAAATTCGAAACTAAAATGGGAGGCAACAACCCAAACCTATCCACTTTCATCCCCGCCCATGCTTGACTGATCTTGAGTCGTGAGAACGGGGTCGCGGAGGGAGCGCGTGTGTGGTGTGTCAGGGGCGTGCGTGGACGCGTGCGCGGAGGGCGGTTGGACGGCGCTGATGCTGGCGTGCCGGCGCACGGGGCTGAAGGCGTGTCAGTGCGTGCGCGTGCTGCTGGACGGCGGGGCGGAGCCGCTGCTGGCGTCGGCCGCCGGCTGGACGGCGCTGCACGAGGCGTGCCGCGTGGGCTGCAGCGAGTGCGTGCGCGCGCTGCTGGAGCGCCGCCGCGCGCGCGGCGGCGGCGCGCGCGCTCGACGGCCGCTGCGCTGCACCTGGCCGCGCTGCACGCCACGAGACGCGGTGCGCTGCTGACGGCCGAGGGCGCCGGCGGCGCCGCTGGACGAGGCGGACCGTGCGGCCTCACGCGTGGCACGAGCCGGGCGCGCTGCCACGTGCGCGTTGTGCGCGCGCTCAAGAGCCTGGGCGCGCGCCTGCCACCGCGCGGACAAGAACGGCCTCAGCTGCCTGCACTTCGCCGCGCTCGCCGGTCGCCCCCAGGTAGGTTAAACTCGCGCCTTGGCTGGTCGCAAAATGAGACGTGACGTGACGCAGGCTCGTTCATGGTCAGTTACTGCGAGCCACTATGCTTATTGGATCCGCGTACGTTAAGAGTGCAAACGTGGCGCCGTTTGTGCGCTTGGTGTCCCTGGGGAGCGCAGTGTCTTGCACGCAATTTCCTGCGAATGTTCACTGTTACTTTACTGAAATACGGAATGAAGCCCTATGTGATCATAAAGTTCTTTATTACACAAACCATGATGAGGTGTTGAATGAAGATATTGAGGTGTTTTGTGAACCGTTAATATTTATTTATTCGCGGGGAGATGACCTTTCGGCAGTTGTTCCGCACCCGAAGTTGGACCCAAACTTCCTTGGAAGCCTACCTTCCACGCTGGTCAGGGGACCTTTATCTGAACAGGCGCACCACGCGGGCAGTTCCCTAAATGCGCCTGGGATATGATTCAGTACAGAAATATGCAGTTACCTTCAGATATGAGAAAATATGCAAAATAAATTTTGGCAGTACCTTATTTTAAACTCCAAAATGAGATCGCTTTTCCTATCCCATTTTTCTTACCGCCCCTCCCTACTGGCCAATAATAAACTGCGACGCATCTGTCTTAAGAGGTTGTGTTGATGTGCAATACACAGCGTGTGTACTATAATGTAATGTTTGATTTTTAACATACCCGTACCCGGAAGGTAGGTAGGTATTAGATACATCACACGTAGAGGGGCAACGTTAAATTAATTGGCCGCTACAGATTTATATTCCCCAAAAGAAAATAGGCGAGTCTGCTGCAGCTTACGGAAACTTAACATGGCAGCAACTGGGCAGGACGGACGGTCCACCACCCGGGTCATCGGAGTAGTTGCCGGAGAAACGGAACGGTGTCTTTTCGAGGCATACCTTGACGCTGGGGCTGGCCGACACTTGATACTCGACGGATATCTTACCAAGAAACATGAAGGGGAGGGGGTGTTGGAACATACCGGTGCGTGCCCTTTAGTTGCTGTAGGCACAGAGAAATTCTGAAACTGTGCTTCGACCAATGGCTGCAGCAGCTAACATGCACTTGCGTGACCAACACAGATGACTTACTTTAATTTTTGTTTATTATGGCCTTTCGGCAGTCGCAACCCATCTGACCGCTGCTCTGCCGCGTGGTTCAGGTTTATCTCCCGTCTCTATATTCTGCGTCGCTGTTTTCCGAGACGCCGCTGTTTCCGGGATCAAGAAAAAAACTATTACATCCTTAGCCCCGTGATGCGAAACGTATTTTTCTTGCTATTGCCCTCTGCGCAATTGTTTTCAAACGGCGTTTATGGTATTAGTCGGCAAATATTGCTTTCATGAACTAAACTTACGCTAGTTCGCGCGGTGGTATATCGCAAGGCACATAATTGTCCCGTTTGTGTTACTCTGTAATCAGGTTCTTGTAATGAGAAGTATTGCTTGTCATATTTTCTACATCCTCCTGTCATTGTGGTACTCTACGTGTGCTGGTGCTGGTAAAATGACATATCATATAATATTTGATGAAATATGATTCTATGATACATTATATTTATATAATATGGTGTATTATGTCAGCTGCAATAGAGTTGTCTTTCGCTCCAAGTGATTTGATAATTTTTTTTAAATATTTGTTTTCAAATATAAGTTTGACTGAGTTAATTTCACTTAATATAAAATATAAATAATTATGGAAAGTTCTAAGAAGCGTTTCTTAATTGTATTTATTGTATTTCAAAAGATTAAGTAAACTTAAAAGTTGACAGTTGAAAAACATTTTTTATTCAAGACCGTGAACTAGTTCAAACATTATCACTCCCTCTTTTCTGCTCACCCTACATTCATATTCAAGTTCCTTACGATCGTTTGCTTCGCGACCAACTGTCATCAGATCCAGAGCGCACGCACGTATGTTTGTGGGTGTGGGTGCAGAGGCATATCTATGTATTTAGGCACCCATGGGAAGCATAGAATTGCTACTCCTGCCAGGATACATTAAAATAGTGCACCCATGACTCAGTGACGAAGGCACTTGCCTTTCACCACTGAAGTTCCGGGTTCGATTGCCGTACAACCTCATGTGAAATTTGTTACGACTAATCGAGTTTGCCTGCTACACAAAGGCTATTCCAACCCTTACCCATATCCTTATTCCTTCCCAATTCTGGCCGATGGGAATATCAAGCAGGGCGAGCGCGAAAGACGCTACCTGTCGGCGATTCCCTGACTTGACTATGGCTGACGTGACTTGTCTACACAGCGGTCCGGCTAGAGGGCGCTTATTAATGGAAGATTACTTCATAGTGCTTAACGCTCCTTACGGAGTTAGGAAACACGTTGAGTCGATATAGACTAAACAAGTTTAAAAAAATGAGGATTGTTATTGTTTTAGTGGGTATACTCTAAATAGCGCCCGCGTGAGTGGGGGGGGGGCATGCCACGCGCCGTGTCTAGCACACCGTAGCAACGCCTCTGTGTGTGTGTGTGTGCGTGCGTGCAGGTGGTGGAGTTCCTGCTGGTGGAGTGCCGCATGTTCGTGGACGCGCCGTCCAAGGTGGAGCGGCTGACGGCGCTGCAGTGCGCGGTGCGCGCGGGCAACGTGGACTGCGTGCGCACTCTGCTGGCCTTCGGCGCAGACCCTCGGCGCTGCGACGCCCGCGGCCGCACAGGTCTCTAACGATGCCCCGCACTTCTCTTACGGCCTACTGTACACCTATCAACAAAACCGCGCGTACTGCTCAAGAGCAACAAATAAAATAAGTACTATCGGATAACTCGGCAATAAATTAAATATTGTAACAAAACAGTCTTCACAAATGTTGCAATAACATAACATAGAATAGGAAAATAAGTAGTATCGGATAACGTGGCAATAAATTAAATATTAATTAAAAATTATAAAGTAACAAAACAGACTTCACAAATGTTGCAATAACATAACATAGAATAGGAAAATAAGTAGAATCGGATAACTCGGCAATAAATTAAATATTTTAACAAATCAGTCTTCACAAATAGTGCAATAACATAACATAGAATAAGAAAATTAGTAGTATCGGATAACTCGGCAATAAATTAAATATTATAACAAAACAGTCTTCACAAATATTACAATAACATAACATAGCATAAGAAAATAATTAGTATCGGATAACGTGGTAATAAATTAAATATTAAAAAAAACATTTTTCACAAGTATTGCAATAACATAATATAGAATATATTTTGTACAGTAAATATTTACATATACAAGAATACAACATATACAAGAATATCAAAAAAGTTGTTTCATAATGCAACACGTATCGCATATTTCGTGTCGAGCGGTATCTTTCTGAAAGTTGCTTACACATGTCAGCTGTGAGATAAGGGGAGGGCGCAATGAGTATGAAAATTCATCCGGTATGCGAAATATGAGAATAGGCCAAAAAACACAATTAAATGTTTACATTTTTCAGTCAAAATCGAAACAGTTTTATTACTTGTGGATCTTTCCCGAGTTTCTGGGTATTTCCCGAAACCTCTGACGCCTCTCAAAAGGCCGTAAGCTGAACGGTTTCTTTCAATTTCTGCGCGCATTAGAAAATTAATAATTTATGATTGAGAAATAGTACATTTATTACTAATATAATATATTAATAATATAATACAATCTCTCTCCCTCTACTCATTGCAATTTGTAATGAATCTTTAAATTTTTAGGGTCCTTTGCATGACGCATGACCTAGAAAATTTTCAAAATTTCCTCAAAAATTGCTTTTTTTGGTATTACAATTTACGGATATTTAATGAATTTGGCGATTTTACCTGTTAATATTTGGTAATGAACATTTTCATTAGATGTTTTTTATCTTTGACGGTTTAAAAAATAAGAAAAGTGAGACATCTACAAAAAGCCTCATATTTGAATTTAATGAAGAAACATATTTAGGAAATTATATTTTTACTAGTTAAGCTGATTCACAAAACAACCGACGTATGCATAAAGCAAGACACTTTGTCTGGTCGTGAAATAAACGACTCCGATATGGATAAAACTGTTCGCCTGAAAAATACAAATATTTGAGATGTCTCACTTTTCTTGGACAACAACGATTGGTTATATTGATACTGTATATTGATATTTTCCTCTCAGCTGAAGATTTTTTCTCTGGCTTGAACAACGAAGAAATCGAGGCTTTGTTGACAGAGGGACAAACGACAATGTGGCAGCCAGAGAATGTAGAGGCCGCCCCAGTGCATTTCCTTGACAGCGGGGGTGAGATTTCCTCGTGAATAGGTCACTTCACTAACGTCTAATAAATGTTGAACACAGTTTTTTGTTGTTGAAGTAGCTTCTTATGTTTCAAGGACTATAACGATGAGTTACCAAAAAGGTGTTTTCTTATTTCTCAAAGCTGTATGTTTTTTTGTAATACATTGTCTCGCAAAAAATATTCTTATAAAAGTGATTATCCCATTCAAACATCGCAATGGATGACGCTCTTGCGTCTCATTGTATCCCTACTGGTCCTACTATCTCTTTGTATCCCTACTTCACAAAAATGGTCATAAACCCATTCCTCTTCTGACTGCCAAAACCAAGTTCCTAGAGTCCATTTCTTCTCTAAAGACGTAATAAATTTCAAAACATTATCAAGGCAATGTTTTCTGAAGAGCACTAAAGCTCAAGCCATTAGTCATATACGCGACGCACCCTTCTAAGGTCGAAAGAAAGGAAATCATGAGAAACCTATCGCACGACCTTATTACGAGTCCACGCAGGAGAGAGGGAATAATCGTACAGCCCCGAATCCTATCAAAAGTCACCGAAAATTCTGGAAAGATTTACAGTGCAAATCACGACACGATCCTGACAGGATGATCTCGAAAGTCTTATCACGCCGATGAATCGGAAACCGTATACTAGGGAACGTTCCATAAGCGCCACACCAGAGACCTTCCTAGTAAAGGGTTTTAAAAAGACCAGGGTTCAAAGAGCGTGAGCATTGAAGGGATCATGTCGGCGTCTTAGACGTTGGAATAAACCGCTTCATTGTACGAGATTACAGTTGGTGATTTTTGTTCACTCTACTATGTCAAAATATACTCAGAGCCAAATTACGAGTGAACTCGACAAATGCTCGTCAGAGAACTTGGATTATGCGAGTATCTCATCAATACAGATAAATTTGATGGGCTTGGCTGTGATTTTCGGATTTCAGTTTTAAATGCTTTTTGAACTTGTATATGCTATTACTAAATCCAATCTCACGTCAAATTGAATTTGTTTCTGTCCATCAGTACGAAACAAATTAACTCAAAACTACTGAATCTACATGTTCAACATGAAATTTAAAGACATAGATGCTATCCATGGAATCAACTTAGTTTTTCTTTTACCACTTGATATCTCACACGGTTCCAAAGTTGTAAATTTTTATCCCCCACCTCTATCCGTACCGTCTTGCTCTGCCCCGGGCAATTGGCGTGAAACTTGCAACGTCCGGGCAGTTTTGCGAAGGACCTAAGTCATTTAATGCTGGGTAGTGTGGAATGCATGGCCTGGCCTGACCCGTCTGACTGGGGTTACATAAAGCTATCAAAATAGATGCGTTGCTAGGACTATACCAGGGCGCTATCTCTTCATGCCTCCATTAGCGCAAAGTGAGGGCGGGCCCGCCCTCAAAACTTTTATCCGGGCCCCTTTATAAAAGTGTAATGCAGACACAAGTGGTGTTAAGATCTTAAATAAAAATATATTTTAACAAATTCTAATTTATCTGTCTAAGAATACCAAAAACCAATAGTGGAAAAATCTTCCTTTATTGTTTAATTTTGTGAAATTAAAACTATTAAAAGCCTAAATGAATCGCTTACTTTTATTGATTTAGAAACATGGTTACATAAGCTACTGAAGTGTAAACATCGTTCTGGAAAATGCTGTTTTTAATCTTTTATTGTATCAACTATCGCAAAGTATCAAGTAATTAATATCGCACAGCGCAATCGCAAAGCCTTCAACCAAAAAGTAGGCCCTCTTTCACCTGTGCCCTCATTGCGGGCCCGAACATTACGCCACTGATGCTGGGAATGGTACAGTTTACCTTTCCAACATTTCCGGCGGCCCCTGGTATTTTTAAATACCATAATAATAATAATAATAATAATAATAATAATAATAATAATAATAATAATAATAATAATAATATAATAGTATAATAATAATAATAATAATAATAATAATAATAATAGTAAAATAATAATAAAAAATTATCAGGGCTCAGATTCTGATGACATGTCATCTTTTCATTAGTGCATTCTAGACGTATGCTAACTTCAAAATGAATGTTTTTTCACAAAATAGGTGCATAGGCTATGTGCAAATGCATAGCATAGGTGCTATGCTAGTCCCCAGAAGTTCACGATTTCTGGATTCGACTGTATAAATGTTAATCGTTCTTTTATTGAATAGTAAACTCCACACCCGCTCAGACAACTTTCCCAGATCATTGGTGTTTTTCTGCCAGACAGATTGGGCATACTGCATCTATCACTATTATTGGGGGATGTAGAGGGGGGGCAGGGGAACCATGCTCCCTCAAAAAGGCCTAGAGACCGTCCTATATTTGGCAAAATTGGTTTAAATATTTATGTTCGAATTGTGTAATTATTTAAACTATAATATTGTATAGTATCATATATACAGTACATAAATAATATATATCAAATATGTTTATTATATAACAACGTTAACTATGAGCCCCCCAATGATCGGCGGGATCCGGCCCTGATCATTATAGACCAAATATGGCCCATCTATATCTCAGTGCATTGCGTTAAAAAAATTCTCAATATAAAGCACACTGAAATTGACCGCGCTTTCACTTGCGCGATCGTACTCCACGCTTCAGTTGTTAATTTCAGTAGTCTCATGGAATCAGGATTGGTCGCACGTGTGTCGAGCGCACAGTGTATACTCTAATTTAAACTTAGTAACACTTTAACGTCACGAATTGGAAGAAGAGTGACGTTGTCATTCAATCGGAAGCCCTAATACCAAAAATGGGCTCAAATTATAACGAAGCTGCTGATTGGAAAGTAGTGCTCACTCTCCGTTCATCTCGTGACTTCTATGTGCTACTATATTTAAATTGGAGTATATTGGCAACGTGGGCATGCTTGAGCATGTACGTATGTGGTAAAGGTAAGCAGTTCGTGTGTAATATGCATTTTTTTAAATTGAAAGTTGATATGACGTTAGTTTCCGAAACAATGATCACAAACATTTATGTAAAAAGTAATGGTGCTTGAATTTTAATTTGTCAGTGTGTATGCTAATTTAAAATACTTTGCAGGTTAGTTTGGGGTTATGGCGCGTAAAGGACACTCTAAGAAACGTGGGAAAGGAGGAAAATCCCGTAAAAGGAAAAGACGAGACGATTCTCAACCCGCGCCCCGACAGGACGAGGCCAGAGTTCAAGCCAAGAAGCCCAAGTTGGCCCCGCAGGAGCAGGACTCGAGCAGCGACAGCGGTGAGGAAGCGGATCCCTTTACCAGTTTGCTGTCCACTTTCAACGCCACTGCACGGACAGACAATGTTGTTGAAACCGATGAATCCGAACCCAGTGACTCTGAAGTTGAGGTCAGTGAAGGTGACAGGGAAGTTTCTGTGTTTGATCAGGACGAAAATTTGGGTGAGGAAGACGATGAGGTAAATGAGAGTGAAGGTGATGGCGGTGATGAAAACGATAGCAACGACGATGCAGGTGACAGTAATGATAAAGACGAGGATGACTTTGATGTCTTTGAAAATCAAGACGAGGCAGTGGATGACGTTTTAGATAATGATCCCTTCGTTAAGCATTTATTGTATGATCTGGATGAAGATTTATTAGAAGTAATTCAATCACCCCAGCCTCAATATCAAATCGTGCAAGAAATTTGGCCTGCGCTTGAATCACTAAAATTCTATTTGCCAGATGTCAAGAAGAAAACGGCAGTAAAAAAAACAAAAATGTCTGTTGTAGACAACACAGTATTTGCACCTCATGGAAATGTACCATCTAGAATCACGTATGTGGATTTAGCAAAGCTTCATGTTAAATCTCAATTGCATAGTAATGTAGCCAATGCAAATGTGGAAAACATTGGAGAAGAAAAAGAAATGCTGATTACACCACTCCAAAAAGAAATCTTCACTATTGTTAATAATTATCAAGATTTGTTCTATCCGTCAAGAACACTAGAAAATGGTGAAGAAATACGTTTCATTTACACTCTTCATTCTGTAAACCATATCTTGAAAACAAGGACCAAAATTGTGAATCATAATATTAAAGTTCAAAATAAGGATGATGTGCCAGATGAATATCGTGATCAGGGATTAGTGCGTCCAAAAGTTTTAATTTTGGTACCTTTCAAAGATTCAGCGTACCGGATTATTAAAATGATTATATCCCTTTTGCATCCTAAAGACAAAGGTCATGTAATTAACAAAGCAAGATTTATAGAAGAATTTACAGGAGGTGAAATTGCAATGCCTTTTAAAAATCCACGACCAGAAGATTATGAAAAAACGTTTTCAGGGAATGCTGATGATAACTTTAAAATTGGATTAGCAATAACAAGAAAAAGTCTTAAGCTTTATGTTGACTTTTATTCAGCTGACATAATTATTGCATCACCTCTCGGTCTGAGAGTAATTATTGGTGCAGAGGGTGAAGCAAACAGAGATTATGACTTCTTAGCATCTATTGAAGTATTGATAATGGATCAGACTGAAATATTCCTGATGCAGAATTGGGAGCATGTTTTGCACATTATGAACCATATACATTTACAGCCTAAGGAATCACATAATACAGATTTTGCTCGTGTTCGATCATGGGCTATTAATGGGTGGACACGCTTTTACAGGCAGACCCTTGTGTTTTCATCTCTTATGTTGCCTGAAATAAATTCACTTTTCAATAAAAAGTGTCATAATTTTGCTGGTAAAGCTCGTATTGAGAAGTTTTATGCAAAGGGTTCTGTGTGCCAAATAGTTCTCCAGTTGTCACAGGTATTTCACCGTTTTAGTGCAATAAGTGGCCAGACTACTATAGATGCTAGATTTGAATTCTTTACCAAAAAAATCCTTCCACAATTTACTGATTCAAACACAAACAGTGTATTGATATATGTGCCATCGTATTTTGATTATGTTCGAATTAGAAATTATTTCAAAAGAGAGGAAATAAGTTTTGTGCAGATATGTGAATATTCTAAAGATGGAAAAATTGCAAGAGCTCGGGATCATTTTTTCCGTAGTGAAGCCCAATTTCTGTTGTATAGTGAAAGAGCTCATTTCTTTAGGCGATTTCGAATTAAAGGTATAAGGCATCTCATCTTTTATCAGCCTCCCACCATACCTCATTTCTACAGTGAATTTTGTAACTTTATGGCTGACTGTAATCAGAGCCGCAAATTGGCCTGTGATAGTGCTAAAAGTGTAACAGTTATGTATGCAAAATCTGATGGATTACAACTTGCTGCAATTGTAGGCACAGAGAGAGCTGCACGTATGCTTTCATCAGATCGTGATGTTCACATGTTCGTCAGTGGAGATTGATTGCACAAATATTTAAAATATGTGCAACTTTAAAGATATTCAATTCTACTGAAGTTGAGACAATTATTATTTCTATTGTGGATGTATCCAAAGCTAATGAAGTGTTTATAATAATATCACTGTTGCATGATAATGTTGCAATGTGTATTATTTGATTTTATATTGGATAAAAAAGGGTATTATTTAGATCTCGTCAATGTATAAATTCAGCAACATATTTAACCCTACTCTTTCAAAAGTTAAAAATGTCTTTACCAGTCTGTTTTGGTTCATTGGGGAGCATGGTGGGTGTGCGTGAGTGTTAAGTTGTTTGATAGCAGGGAGAAGGTGCAATATAAAGATACTGTGGTAGAACAAGAATTTTTCTATGGTGGGTGGGGATGGAGGATATAGTATAGTTTGTAGTAGTTGACTTGATATTTTCTGATAACAAAAATTTAATTCATGCTGATTTGAAATTATATTTTAATTTGTTTGAGTTATAATGTATTTAATTGAGATATTGAATGACTTTCATTATTACACTACATTATTAAAACTGTATTTGTGAGAATGTTTCATCATATGCTGGTGAGATGAAACCTCATGAGCTCCTTCGGTTTTTCATTAAATGTTTATTAATAATCTGAAGAAGATAAAATATTAATGAATGGTAAAGAAATGGTATTTTGTTCAAAACTGTTAAGAACAATTCTTTCCCTAGTCCCTTTAGAAGTAAAAAAAAATTGCATTGTTTTTCTCACAACATTATCAGCATTACATGGAATCTGTCAGTTCAGATGTTACTAGAATTAGTAGAGTCTATTTGTCTACAGTTTGCCAATAACTTGACCATTTACACCATTGTCAACAATAGATTGATGAAACATTAGAAATTATACATATGAAACATTGTCTACAATACGATTTTTTTTTGTGGAATATGATAATTTATTGTCACCCAAATTCTCATATCAATTGCTTCATTTGCATAATGGTAATCCTTATTCTCAAAATTTTTTTTATTGGTTGAAATTTGTATTCTTGGTGTGGGCATTTCCGTTATTTAATCGTGTAAAACTCACAATGTGAATCAAACAAAGTGAAGGGTCTTAATGCTACATGACCATTCTCTTTTGTTTTGTTACTGATCAATAAAATAACTTCTTTTTCACTTTCAGCTGACTTATGTTTGTGTTTTATTATGAAGGAGCAAAATTATTGATATGTTTTTCACACCTGCTACGTAAGCAGGAACCTTCAGGCCTTTCATCGTTCAAAATAATTATTTCAACTTTTTCACAAATCCATACTGTAAAATTAAACTGTAACAATAAGCTATGAATTCTAAAATTCTATATAAAATTTCTTTTTAATAACACTAGTCAACAGTCTGATTTGCACAGAAGCCCTCCAATTTGAATGGAATGCTCACCATCAAGATCTACTTTGCTATTGGTGGTATTTTATTGTAATTAACAATAAATACCCATCTATTTTATTGTAAGTCGTGTTACATAATCAAAGAAATTAAGAACTTTGGGCCAATAACAAGCGTCTTGTTATTAGCATAACATAAAGATATTGATCAGTGCTTCTCATCATGTTACTGTCTCAAGCCCTACATCCCAAAGCAGTTGTTGCTGTAGCATTTTGCACCATTCAGATTTAGAGTATCTTTATAATATCCAAAGTAACTGTATTAACACCTTCAACCATATTTGTTTCTGTATTTTGTCTGGCATAAAATAATTATTATCCGCTTTCAGAGGGATAACTGATTTTGAGGATCTAATGCATGTCATTTTAGGTTTTTTGAAACGTTGATTTAACCCATTTTAGATTTTTAATATTTTTCTTATATTATTAGGCTGAACAATAATTGCAACAAATAGCAACTTAATTAACAATATTTATTTATGTTTTACAATATTTTTACCTCCAAACTTCAGCAAAGTTCTTAAAGAAACACCAAAAAACCAACAATTTTTCAACTTTAAATAGTCCCTTAAAATTAGCATCAAATCAAAGAAATTACTGTTCTTAAGATGCACTTAAGCAACAAGTATAGTCCAACAAGATGCACTTAAACAAGTATAATCCAAAAATATCTAATCTTCCTATTGTCATGTGAAGGTTATTTTGGATACTCCTTAGATTCCGTTGCTCTTTATCTTACAGGTAATACTCCAGATACTTTTTCTCCTAGAAGAACTCAATTTTTGTGTTTAATCTTTGTGTAATGAGGGTTCCATTGAATTTTCAAGAGCTTTGAAAAGAACAGAACACCTAGAGTCCCTGATACTTCCTTCGTTGAAACTACTTAAATGATATTCATCCCTTCATATAGTAGAAGACATGATCTAATTTAGGAATTAAGTTCTAATTAGTACATCAATTACAATTCTGAGCCCTAGTGAACTGAAAATTTTAATTTACTCAAAGGAATAAATGCATTTCTTATGACGCTAATTTTTTTAATTCTTTTTACCGTATTATAGGGTCATATTTCATTTTGGCCGATTTTACAATCTTGAAGTTTTGTGTATTTGACTCAGAAATGATTAAAATGGGTATTAAAATGTTCTTAAGTGAGGAATAAAGTAGTTTAAAATCTAAGCATCCTGGCCGTAGTAATAAGTGGGCAATGAAATTGAACGTTTTTTCTGCTTTGGAATCATTACATCAGTCTGCGTGATTTTTTATGTTTGTGATATTTTCTTTGTTTCTTTATGTGCATTTCCCACTGATTTCAAATCTGCAATCAGTATTTCTGCATCAGCTACAGCTTTCTTTTCCCTCTAACCAATATATGTTTTGGACATTTATGGTCTTTATTAGATGTTAATGCTAATACAATATATTTCTTATTTTATAACAGATTGTTATAATTACTTGAGTGTATTACCTGTTAAAGATAACTAAATTTCATCAATTAACATGAATAGAAAATATATGTTGAAGATGTTTTGCTACACATGTGCTAAAGTGATGTTACCAGGGCAAAGATCAAGCATTACAAGTACAGTATTTGTAAAGGCCAGCTTTTACGCTGATTTTAATATGTAATTGAGAGATCAGGACAATACCTTTGCTCCATAGCTACGGTGTCGAACATGTGCTAGGTTGGCTTAGATGATGGAGCAAGGGAATCGGAAAGGCAATTACTTTTGGTATACTTATGGTGTGGAGGGAAAGAAAGGATTATTTTATATTCTGCTACTTTTGCATGAGGAAATTTCAAGGTAATTAATGTAATTTTTGTAACCTCAAAAGTTTTTTACCAAATTCTTCAATAATACACCAAACAAAAATGCTCTCTTTATTATATATTATTTGCATCTATTATTATATGTTGTGTTGTATCGACAAATCTCTTATGTATTGCCAGTTGTATGGGAAGGAAAAGGTCAGCATCCTCTAATAGCATTCTCCAGAAAAGCTCTGAAAGTATCTTTCTTAAAAAAAACTCATAAAACTTCAAGAAAACAATTATTTATTATAACATCAAAAGCTAAAAAAAATTAAACCATCATGATTCAAAAATACTAAAAAATTATTAACGCTCGAATTCACTGATACTAACCTACGAGTTTTTCTACGAGTACCTACTTAAACAGAATAAAATTCTAATTTTTTAAACCTAACAACTAATCTAATGCACAAAAGGATTTCGTTTCTCTATTTTCCCAATAAATATTTAATGTCACTTAATATTTGAGCATGCATTTGAACAATTAAAAGAAAACATGACGTATTACTCACAACACTCCAGTTCTTCCATTGTCTAGAAGAAACATTTCCCCTCTGACAGGGACAGATCCAACCGAATATTTGGGGGGAGAGGCTCTTAAATTTTTTGTTCAATAATAAACATATTAATTGTATTGTATATATTTGTGTATACATCATACTAAACATTACTTTATAAACAATTACATAATTCTATCATAAATATTTAACTCAATTTTGACAAATAAAGGAAGCTAACAAACAAAAACTCTTGGCCTTTGGGGGAGGGGATGGCCCCCATGACACCCCCCCGGATACGTCATGGACGCCCGTACGTTGCTATATTACGCATCCTCAACGCACCCTCTCTAATACGATCGGAGCTCGCGATTTTCGATGAGCACGACTTTTTGTGGACCCGACGCTTCCGTACTGCAGCAGAGGAACACACTGATCTTGCCGCAACGCATTAGGTAATCGGTGCCCTTCGCGACGGCTCTGCCAGACTTAGCTAGAATAAGCTAAATTTTCAAATACAGACGAACCAAAAAAGAATCAAGAAACGCTAGACAATGTTACACATCCTTACAACGATCTGGGTATAACTTTAGATTCTGAGTGAATTTAATTAAGAAAAATATACTTAATTTATTTTCTAAAATAATACGCGACATTATTTTATCTGATAAATATGTATCTATGTGTAAATACTCCTAAACATGCTACATTACCAAATGTAGTTGAATGTGGCAGCGCCGACGGTGTAAACTGTTTTAAAAGTACTTTCATGTGTTGAAAATTGATGTCATGCTTTGCTTTGTTTTAAATATATTTTTTTACAGTCTCTGGTATTAGACATACAAATGAATCATAGAATCTGATAATAATATTCTCCCGTTCACAAATTTCGAACACAAATGGCCTTGTATGTTACGTTCATACGGGATAAGAACTGGTAAACCTGGAGATGTGGTTTAGGGAATCAACTGATGTCACTGCGGTACCTCTGACCGGGAGGTCCTAGGTTCTAGTCCCGACGGTGGCATGATTCTCGGCACCAGCTAGATCGCTACACTACCGGCAGCGTATAAGCGACTCTGATAGTTCGCTGCGCTGTTGCCACGCAGTACCATGCACCTGGCACCACCTACAAGACGTAAATTAAATCTAAAAACTTTACCTCTTACCGACACGTCTTGATATCATGTTTAAACCTTTGCCACAACCGAACCTTATCGCCTCCGATACTGCGCCTGAGCCAGATGAGCGACAACTCAATCCTGGATGAG